ATTGATATTCCACCACTCGAACTTAATATCGTGAATGGAGGGCCAGGTTCTATGAATCAGGAGGACAATGCGCTTAGTTTAGCAGCAAACTGGCACTTTGTGTGCAGTGTCTATGCCCCAGAACAGGAAGTTTCTAATGTGAGCCTCTCAATTGTGTGCCTATAGAGTTCTAATGAGCTTCTGTATGCTGAGTGAATGGCTGCGGGCCATTCACCATGAGGGCCCAATGAGCCAGCTCACTGCACATGTTCACAATAGGATCCTGGGGGAATGGGAGTGGCTGTGTGGAGCAACTGCTCTGCATGGACAGTCTATAAAGGCTTCAACATACCTAAGACCACATTTTCATTAAGAGTATGGCACATTAAGCTGATTGCAATGAAAAGCTTTTGTTTTTATCTCCACTTTAAAGCTTTGCATGTACGACACATGAGTCTCTATTATCAAAAGAGAGCGCTGAAAAAAAAGTAATGAGAGTGAATAAATGTGTTAAATGAAATAAAGTGCCACTATGGTGTCTTATTGTGTACCTTTCACAAAACAACGTCATGCCTGTCGGATCATATTTGTGGAGCTGTGCGGCACTTAGGCATGAGAAAAACACATAATTTTCAGAATAAAAGGCTGTCAAAGCTGTGATCGAACTTTTCTGAGTTTTCAACGTGTACATATTGCTAATAAAAGGGCAACAATGCAGCCACATTAATATAGATTTAAAATTATTTTTTCCCTTTACCATCTGAGGTTAGATATGAAATATCTATATATAATTTAATGTAAGATATTTTGACTCATAGAATCTGTAATATTCAAATATAGTGTGCAAAAATGTTTTATTAAGCAGTCAGTTTCTACAGAAAATAATAGGGCCCTTAATACAGGGTGACTCTGCTCACAGAGATCTGGTAGTACATAGTTTGTCTTGCTCATTTTTGTCATTTATCTTGATTTATGTCTCATCCCTGAACTCACTGCACTCATAAGCCACTTAAATCCTGCTAGTACCAGGTTTGGCTAACTGCCTTAATTATTTGTGGCATGGATTCAAACCGGTGCTGCAAACATTCCTTAGAGCTTTTGGTCTATATTCACATGCTAGCATCATACAATTGTTCCATCAGCTGCACATAAATGATGCAGATCCTGTTTTTACCACATCCCAAAGGTGCTCTATTAGATTGAGATCTGGTGACTGTGGAAGTGAGCAAAGTGAACTCACCGTCATGTTCAAGAAATCAGTCTGAGCTCATTTGAGCTTTGTGACTTCCCTCTGATGACAGAAACACAGTGGTTAGATTGTGATGGCTAGATCGTCAACCATACTCAAGTAGGCTGTTGGTTTAAATAATATCTGTTGTAATTAGTCTAAGTAGTTGTGTGCTAAGAAAATATCGTCCACACCATGACATCATAAGTCAGGACACAAGTCGCCATGTGACTGGTTAATTAGGTATTAACGAGCAACAGTTATACCAAGTAAGTGGCCCGCGAGTGTATGTTGCCCATTTTTCGGGTAGTTTAGCATTTACCCTTTGGCATGGTCCAAGAGTGACACTGTCTGTTTGGCCTCAGTACTGCTCCACTGTGATCGAGTGCCTGCAATACTCTGTCATGTACCCACGATGGCGCTGAGAGAACGGGGACCATCAATATTTTAACTGCGTGATTCCCAAAACTCTGTCTGGTTTTTGCATCAGCATCAAATATTTAAAAATGCAGCTTTGCAACAAATAGCAGATGACTTCCATCAGTCCACCGCAGCTTAATTTAAATATTTTTCCATTTATATTAAAAATAATATTCATAATAATTAAAAAAAAAAACATGTCAAAGCAAAGGTATTAGAATACATTACTGGGCAGGATGATGCAATAAAACGTTACAGGTTTAATAGAATATAATTCAAATTAGAAACTCAGAAAAGGACATTATAACATAGAAATATGAACCAAATGAATCCCAGGAGACCCCTGTGGGAACAATATGCAAAGTTTTTTTTCTTTCTTTTTTCCCAGCAGTTCATTCGTATTCTGTCACTGCTACTTTAAGTGATTTTAATTTTGTAGATCTTGCATTAGTATGTCTATATGGTATATTTATTTCCTAAGTGAACAAGCCCCTGAGAGCTTTGCAATGCATCATCCATCTAGTTTTCATTATTTATTTATTTAATTATTTTTTTTTAGATAAATGAAAGTACCGCTGTTCTTCTGCCTTTGCCTTGAGAGATTTGACGTGCGAGCGCAGGTGTGTGTTGGCAGTGCGCGTGCTTATTACTTTTGATTCTTTGCTGGGCGCATGCTTTAATGACTCTTATTTTCCTGATGGCACTTTAGGAAATGACAAGTTGTGGGCAATACAAAGTAATTACATTTCCTGTGTCTGGACCCAGAAGAAATGGAATTATTAATAATGAATAGTGGGTTGGTCGCCCTCTCAGACAACAGATGTGACACTGCATGAAGAGCCATTGCTTGTCTTTGTTTTGGTCACAATAGCCACCCATTAGCTGCATGCTGTAGATGCGCTCTCAGTTGGTACAGATAATAGCCTGTTTGCCAAAAAACATCTGTTTTGCATGAATTATAATTAAAACAAAACATGTTATTGGCATTGATGAAGGCTATATTGAAGGAGAGGCACATTTAAATGGCAAATGTGCTGGTGTTAATCTAAGGTCCTTGGGATGGATCTGAGCACCACAGCGGCCCATGAATCATATCTGCTGATGCCCACTTGTCAGCTTGACTTCAGAAACCAGCATAGCCAGCAAAAGATGTTTCTTGTCATCCAGGGATTGGCCTGAGTTTGTTAAGGACTTATGATCGATTGCCTCTGGAAAAGTCTTCAATTTATGTTCCTCTGGCAGAAAATTGATCAGGATTTAATGAAAATGTAATAATTTCAAAATCAACATCACTGGCATAACATGGATGCTTATTAAACAGTTAGGTTTCAGAAGGTTAGTATGTGCCATGATAAAGAAGATGCGAGATAAATAAATAAATTTTCAACCCACAGAGCGCCTTTGCTTCAATTGGCACACAGTCAGCCAAGGACTCAATTTTAATTTGCTTTCTTGGCACCTGCTGAAAAGCCAGACGTCACCTTTACAGAAGGATTGAGAACGTCTGCTTGCAGCAGGTCACAACTCTAATCAAAAAGCAGTTTTAGCATATATGATAATCCAGTAAAATGTTGTGCTTTTGTGACAGGTGGCTTTTTCTCCATTGACTTCTTCACAAGGACAAGGAAGGCAGATGGTTTGGAAGAGACGTAAAGGAGGTTATCAACATCAACTGAAAAGAAAACCCAAACATTGCTAAAAAGGAAAGGAAAAGAGGGCGAGCCTTGACAATGCCTGAAGGATTGTTTATCATGGTAGGTTCCTACCATTTACCACTATAATCGCTGGGACTTTTAACCTCCAAAGTTGGTACACAACCTTGACAACTTCAATGAACAGGCATAACTCATGAAATAGCTTTTTGTGCTTGCTGGCCTTCAACCTTTCAATAGTAGTTAGGCCTTTTGTGCTGCAATGTACTTAAGATGGAAAATAAAAACAATTACGTACCTTTGTCTCAGTAAATTGAAAAGCAATATACTTATACTAGCAATGCTTATCTCATTTATTGTTTCCTTTTTCCCTTTTAGACTTTTTAGATATCCCATGACTTAGTTTATATATAAAAACTGAAATATATTGCTCGGTTAGCTAGTAATTATCCAATTATGAATGATAGAGAGCAAGTGCATTTTCTCATTTGATTGGGCCGACTTTGCAGCAGTAACTCATTCAAATTTAGTTTCAAACATGCGTATCTATTTATACTAGACCTATTACGGTCTTTTCAACTCTATATTTTCATTCTTGGACTCTAAAGTTGTTTTGTTTGACTCATAGTTCAAAATAATCTTTATTTATCTCATGTTGAGACTTGATGCAACCCCTCACTTCATCAGCTGCTTGAAACAAGCTGTGTCAGCCTCTCTACGGAAACACAAATGAAGAAGTAAAGTAAATAAAGTGTTTAGAGCAGCCTAAAGTCTAAGCTTTTGACTCACCTGAATTATTTGTTGATATGCTGACGTCTTCATTTGAAACTTTGATTACGTTTAACATGAGTATCCAAGCACGTCACACCAAGTAGACTTCCAAATGGACAAATCCAAATAATAATTAAGTATGTAAATTGTACGTCAGTAGCATATGGAGCTTATCTGCCACATATGCAGGTGCAAGACACCTTAAGGCTTTAAACACAAACAGTGCCACTGCATGGTGGATTCTGTAATACACAGTGAGCCATGTAAGGCTGCCAACACTGGAGTAATGTGATCACTCTCTCTCTCTTTCTCGTTGTCCCACTCTATAATCTGGCTGCAGCTTTTTGGACTAATTGTAAGTGGGTGAGAGATGATGGACTAACTACAGCATGCAGTGCTCTAAGTAGTCCAGTTTTAACATAACAAAGTCAAGGAGTTTTTAGTCCGGAGATGGAAGAAACTGCTCCCAGACCACAGAATTCATTTGACTGTCAAATTTGAAATTTGAGTCAAAGATCAAGGTTGCTACACAGTGTTTTAATAAGATGAGCCAAAACCCCAGGATTATCCCGTAATAATAACAATATAATAACATACGCGCACACAAAGCCTGTTTTTATTTATTTATTTATTTTGCTTTATATAGAATAAAACTGAATAATTAGATTTTTGTCTTGATCGTCGTTACTTCTTGCTTTCTTAAACATTTAAACATTGACCCTAACCCTGAATTTCATGTAAGCTAAGGCACTGACAAAAATTCCTTTTTTTCTTTTCTTTTCTTTTCTTTTTTTTTAGAGAGAGATTACAGTAGACATGGGCCAGGATGAGGCGTGGTTGCAATCGAGATGCATGTAATGGATATAAAAGCTTTTCCCATCTCAGGCCACCAGGGGGCTTTATTGCCCCTCTTTTCCCCCTGTCTCTCGCTCCTTGACAGGTTTCTCCTCTCCCTTCCTCTCTCTGTCTGCTCTCCTTCAGCGCACACAGCTCGTTCGCACTGCTGTAGGAGCGTCTGTTGAGCTGCCGAGGCAGAGCAGCTCGCTTTGTCCGTCCTCTGTCAGCCACCTGTGCCGCGGATGATGCGGATGGAGCAGACCCTGTGTTACATGGAATAATTTCAGCATCATTGCTGTGTTTTTTCCTCCCCCTCTTTCGGATTTGCTTCTCTCTCCCCCCTTTTTTTAAAAAAAAAATTCGCATCGCCGGGCATCTAAAGTTGTGATGATGCCTCCGCTCAGCATTTGGGATTGGTAACAGCCTCCCGTGCGAGGGTGATACATCATTCGCATGTGATTGAAGAACGCTGTCTCTCGGAAGTGGACAAAACATGGACTAATTTTGCTTTTGTTTTTTTATACATTCACCATGAGATTATTACAGCTGTTTCTGATTTCCGGTGTATTTTTCGTCTCCTCAGGTAGGACAAAAGGCTGTCACTGATTTTTAAATGAACCGTTATGTCGCAACATTTTGCTTTTTAACATGAGATCAGCTTCATTAAATGATGTGCTGTTTTGCTTAACTTGTGACCAAACCTTCTCAGAAATAATCAGCTCTTAATCTTAACCTGACCTGACACATCTCCCCCTGAAACAAACATGATATTTTTTTCTAGCATCACAAGACTCTTTTTTTTAATAACAGTGGTTTAAATAAAATAAAATAAAATGTTGTCTGTTTGTAAATTAGTTATAGGTTTTGGGGTTGACCCTGCCCTGCGCATCAGCGTATTTGATGAACTAACGCTTGGAGAAGGCTTTGATGGAGTTACTCAGGTCCAGGGCTTCCACAGCGAGTCTAGAGCTTTCCACTTCCAAGGTACCATAACACACATTCACTCTGTCTCTGTCTGAAGTTAAAATGTAAAGCAGATGAGATGATGTCCATGCAAAGAACATGTTTTCCTATGATAACTACTCATTTCATTTTGTTTATTTCCTTTGTATGTTTTGTTTACACAACTAGAAAGGCCAACATGATGCAGCCCAGTAATCCACAGATCCTGAGCTGAGATGCCCGTAGATGTCTGATGTTAGATCATCGAATAATGCTGTGCACCAGATTCCTTTATATGATTCTTGTGTTTGTCTGTTCCTGTGTAACAGACTGTAAACTGCAACATACAGTGCATTATCAGTTTTTTCTCTCTATTTGGATTTAGCTGGGGGGGGGGGGGGGCCTCAGACTACCACCTGCCTGAACAATAGGCATGTTCGGTTTTCATGAAAAAGTGTTGTGTTGAGGGCAGGCAGAGGGGGAGAGATGGGAGGATCATACAAAGAATCATAGAATGACTGAGCTTAATCAGATTAGGCCGAGACAAAAATCCCACAGTCAGAGTTGATATATGAAGTGAGTCTGGAGAGTGAATGGGCCCCCTGCAAGAATTCACCCATTTGGTGATCTTCTGGAGTGTGTGAGTTTGAACAGTTTGCGTCGCTAAAAATGTGAATGGGCCGCAGAGTGATCATGTTGTCAGCTGCAAGGCAGTGCGTGTAGCGTGCAAAACAGAGTTGTCAAAGATGAGGTCGTGCTTGACTTTTTTAAATGCTTTTTCACTTCTTTTTTTTTTTTAAATTTCTGTCAGTGTTACGTCTTTGTTACTTGATGTCAGACGCTCATTACAATCCAAATGAAACTGTTAACAGCTCCATCACAGGGATGGAGATGTCTATCATAACCCAGGCAAAAGTAGCAAAAGAGGAAATTGTTTTTTGCTCCCAGATCAGTGGCAAAACAAAAGATATGGCGATGTAACACATCTCCACAAGAAGGTTCTCATCACGGATCACGTAATGTACCAAAGTGACGGCATTGTTTTGGGACAGAGAAACACCACAATCATTTGTCGACCCCGCCTCCTCGCTGATATCTTCTAATCTCCCTGCACAACCGCTGAGACAGCGGCACTTCTGCATGGAGCAGCAACTCCAGTATCTTTGTGAAGGCAGGCCATTTGATGTCCTCTGTGTAGACAACACTCAGAAGTGCTCTATACAGGCGGGTAGCAAAGGGAGAGTTAGAGAGAGAGAAACAAAGACAGTTAGTGAAAGAAGCTACCTGCAGGTTTCTTTCCACAAAATAAAAGGAGAAAAAGAACAACTATTCTGTGACTGGTACCCCTTTGTCATTGCGCTATCTTATTTTCCTACGATTCCTTTTGCTAAGTACATACAGTTATCCAGGCGGAGACAGCAGTGTGTTATTTATGGTAGCTTGCCTCCATCCTTCATTTGGGATGTCTATGTTAAGTCGATGATGTTGGGTGAGGGGGAGGCGGGCAGAGCTGCAATGGCAGAACGGACCTGGGCATCTGCTTGTTTGCAATCAGGAACAGAAAGGAGGAGGCACGTTCTGTAAAAGAGAAAATGAGTGCGGGAGCTCAAGAGAAAGAAGCTGGGATGGGAAGGAGAAAGAGAGAGAGGAAGAGATAGAAATGCAGAGCAGAGCTGTATGCCAGCTGTTTGATAGACTGTGCTGATTCCACATGTATGGAGGCTTGGCTAGCTGGGACCAGCAGACAGGCCCACAGTGACATTCCGACGCTCATTAGATAGCAGGCAGAACATATCCATGGCTGTCCCCTCCGCTGCTTGCCTGCCTGCCCAAAGGGAAGGCTGTTATCTCTGGGTGCTGGATGGAAGCGGGAGGGAGGGGGAGTAGCTACTGAGAGCTAAGAGAGAAGTGGAAGAGTGTAATTCACAGTATAGAAGTAGGTGTATGTCCACGTGCAGATAAGCGGCTGTTGTGTTGTGTGCTGTTAGTTTGCTGTATGCTGTTTCTATGCATCTCTGTCTGCTGAATGTGTTTGTTTTGAAAAAAAGGAAATAGGAAAGGAATGAGCAATGGGGGGATTTCTGTTCAGCGAACCCCTGCTGATGCTTTTGAAGGTAGCTGTCAGAGCTACATTGCATGACATTAGGAGAGGTGGACCTCAGGGACGGGCATAATAAAGGCAGAAAAAAAGGCCCCCTCCCTGCCCCAGGCTACGCTCCTCTCGTGCCAAGGTGATACTCAGGCTCGCCACAAAACCATCACATCATTAGCACTTCCCCCACAGTTTTTAATATCTAGACATCCGTATATCTATTGGTATACACGAGCAGGGAGGGGGGACCACACCCAGAAGCACTCCCTTCCCCCAACACACATACACCCACGCTCTCTCCCTCTATGGCTACAAGTGTATGGACCGAACTCATTCAAAGTGCAAACAACACAGTTGCTAGAAGCATTGTTTCAGCTGCAGCACAAGGCTCCCTTGTAATTGTGTTGGTCTGTGTTTATATGAATCCTGCCTGTCTCAGAAGCATGTTTCTGCTCATGCTGTTTAAACACTGCCAGAGAGGTGTTTCTTTGTATGTTGTGGTGACGACGCCCCTGGCTCCTGTGACACTAAAGTGTAACAGGATGGAAGAGGCTCGTTTGTAATGCTTTGTTAGTGCGCGCGCTTATTTCTACATCTGTATGAAGCAGGGAGGAAATGTCGGTTTGTTGTCCGGCATTTCTGTGTACGTCACAGATGTGCTTCCAGTGCAGAGGCTACACTTACCAGCTGTTAGTAACTATGATGCAGTGGAGTACTGTGCTATAGAAAGATGTAGAGGTTCAGAGGGCAATTCAGTCCTTCAGCGGCAGAGCTCTGGAGAAAGCTTGCGTACAGGAAAGCTACACTCTGCTGAATTGTATTGAGCAGGTTCACCGGGTGCTGTTCTGCAAACCTCACACTTAGAGGAAGGACAATAAAGCAAAATGGGAAAGTGGCTTCAGGAAATAATAATGCAATTAACACTGGCAAAAAGTGGTTAGCGTAACACATCATGCTGAACTTCTGCACGCTTCTTTTTTCTCACTGCAAGTGCTGCGTTTGCTGCTTCTCTTTTATTGAAGTTTCACGATGCAAATAGATTCAATTAAAAGGAAAAAACTTCCTGAAATAGACAAGAAAATGTTATTTAATGTAGGAAAATGTGCCAAAAGAATCCATAAATAATTAAATAGAAAAATGTGCTAATGGGGTAAAACTAGCATACCAATCTAGCTCTGCAGGAGTCCTTAAAATAACTAAGAATCAACACAACTAATTTGGCATACAAAATCTACAAAACAGAATGAAATTTGAGGTTTTTAGACCTTAATATGGAGAAAGATCCATTAAAAAACACCATTATTGGTGTATTGTTAAACTCTCAGTGCTTGCAGAAGCTTTCAGTTAAAATGAATATTCTACAAATCTTTTCTAAGATAATAGAATGGCTGACATCACTCAGATTTCCTTTGTCACACTGTCCATGACAGCTGCATTCACTTTCACTGAGATTGAAGCTTTTTACTCTCATATCAATACAAATATGCAGAGTTCAGCTAGATGCTTAAAACCATTTTACCTTCAATAAAACCATCTAGTGAATAACAGAAAATATGAATCCAAACAAAAACATAATCACTAAGCTCTGAGAAACCTTGGGTAAAGTTCCTCAGCCTTTTTTCACACTCTGATGCTGAATAGTTAAAAAGGTTAACTTTCTTTTTTGCTAAACGCATCACTGACACGTGTGTAAATTAAAATCAGTTACATCTTAATTTGTTGATCGTATGGACTTCAAAAAAAATCTATATCCAAAGTAATAGAGGAACAGAATCCACATTCCTCCGTGCTCCGTGTGAAAATGCTCTCCAAAGTGAATCTGAAGCTAACATGAAGCTCTTACAGCCTCAGACAAGTCAGTTGGGTTTTCCTGAAGTCAAAGAGTCCTTATTATGAAATTCCTTCTTTGTGGATTCACAGAGTGTTTCCTTGATGAGCCAACGTAGAGGGATGGGAAAAGAAAGTGATAATTTGGTACTAGAAGAGATTGAGTGTGGAAAATCCCTAGCTGACTGTCTCACACTGCCGTAGCCTCACATTAAGCTGAAGTTCTGCGTTTCTGTGTGGAACAAAGATTAGCGATTTTATCCTCATCACTCATATTCTAACAGCATGCAGAAGGCATCGCTTTGTGGCAATATGGGCTGGATTACAGCGACTAGTAACACAGGTTTATTGCATATTGCATACGTGCTGTAAGTGTCCAAGTGGTGTGTATTTTATCTTCAGCGGGCGTGCGTGAAGCTCTGAGGAGATGTAGCCTCTAATTTGTTGTGATCTGGTACAATTGTCAGTGCAGATACTACATTTTAAGGGTGCAAACTGTGCATGCAACTGCCAAATGGACTCTAAGGTAATATAGTGTAATCCCAGCCTTAAAATATGAATACAGGCATGATTGTATTCAGGTAGGATGAATACAAACCTAACAAGAAGACTATAATATGTACAGAAACTCAAGAAACTCATTCTTTCAAGAATTTTCCAGGACCAAGAGTAATTTTTCTTGAAAGTGTAAGGTAACAAAGGTCTGCTTTATTCTGCCTGAAGCCAATTTTCCCCAAAACATTTTGAAAAATTGTGCAGTGTGGACAATTTTCTTTAGCAGGTTTCAGAATAAAAACATTTTTAAGACTCAGGGGCTAATGTTAGACATTAGATGTTAACATAAATGTTAGATGTGAACTTTATTCTTAGCAATCTTTAACACCATAACATTTTGTTCTGCTTAAAGATGAACCAAACAGAATTGTCGGTGAAGCTGAAGCTAAAAGCAAAATTTACCTGAGGTCAGAGCTTGCTTGATCCATTCCACCTGCATTTTATATTCATATAAAATAATCCCATATCCTTCCATATACAGCAGTCGTTGTGTCTTGTGCTGTATTTCAAAGAAAAGTTGTCCAATCTTTCCTGATGACTGACATTATCCACAACTCCCTGTGGTCAG